CTGGAAACATTGTCTGAGGACATTCTTTTCAGTTAGCCTATGAATTTTGACTAGGAATATTTCAAAGGTGATTGATTGATCAATTGATTGATTTTGGCTGCTGAGTTTTTACTTAAATGTGGATGTTTAGAGGGCAAAAGAGGAAGGAATGTATATGGTTTTCTATTCAGGAGGACTGGAACGGGATACACTTGAAAGGAACTGAGGAATGGAAATGTGTCTAAAACCTATCCAGGTGTGCATAGCTTAGGTGATCCAGATGTCAAGCCATATGGTATCACCTCTTGGTGACTGAGTTAAACTCAGGTCTTCTTCAGTGAAAAGTATCGCCATCACAAAGGTGTTTTATTTAATGAGTATTTATTTGCCCCTTCTCCTGGGCCCGGCACTATGAAAGGGGACTGTAGGGAGGTCACAGCTCCTATCTTCAGCCCAGTGATCCTTTTACTAGTAACTCTGAGGTTCTACAAATTCATCTTAAAGACATTTACATTAGCGCTCTCTTTTACACCTTTTCAATATTTTCTTGTGTCTCGCTTTTTTAAATAACACTTTGTGCATATGTGTTTTTTTTAAAAAATATATTTTATCATTAATTTTTTACAGAGAGGAAGAGAGAGTGATAGATCAGCTGCCTCTTGCACACCCACTACTGGGGATGTGCCCGCAACCAAGGTACATGCCCTTGACTGGAATTGAATCTAGGACCCTTGAGTCCACAGGCCGACGCTCTATCCACTGAGCCAAACCAGTTTTGGCTGTGCATATGTTTTTAAGTATACAGGTAAATATAAGAGGATAGCATCCACCTTCTTTCTGGTATCAGTTAGCTGCTGCTGTAAAACAAGCCAGAGGCTTCAAATAACAAGCATTTATTGTTGTAGTTCACGTGTGTGAGGGTCAGCAGAAGGTCAGCTGAACCAGGCTGCATTGGCTGGGCCATTCTGCTTTTCCAGGCTAGATCCGTGCACTTGTAGGTTGGCTGGGGCAGCTCCAGGTGGGTAGATAGATCTGAATGGAGAAAGCGACATAAAGTCTCTGAGATTTCCTCCCTTGTGAACCAGCATAGGAGAGCCACAGTGCATGGGTCTGGGATACATTTCTGGAGACCCAGCTCCCTGGACCCCTCCTCCTTCCAGAGAGATGGGATGTTAGCCAATAAGGAGATGCCATGTCTCCCTGGCCCACAAAAATGTGCAGAAGCAATGACAGGGTTGGGCAAGGCTCCTCTGTCCCTGGAGCTGAAAGGCAAGCAAAGGCCTGTCATCATGAGAAAGCCCCTGGCTCCTCTGCTGTCTCATCAGCCCACATGCGGAGAGACAGCTGTGCCTCCTCCAGGGCCTCAGACATGTCCGTGGCAACTCGACCTAAGCCCAATGCTGACAGAAAAAATTACAGGAAGTCCAAGGAGCCCAAGAGCCTAAGGGATCCATGGAACCCAAAGAAGAAAATGAAATATTCGGGACAGACTTTTACTGAAATGGACAACTTCAATAAGAATAGATAAGACGGCCTGGCCAGCGTGGCTAAGTGGTTGAGCTTCAACCTATGAACCAGGGGTCCCAGTTCTAGTCTAGTCAGGGCACTTGCTGGGTTTGCAGCCTCCATCCCCAGAGAGGGATATGCAAGAAACAGCCAGTCAATGATTCTCTCTCATCAGTGAAGTTTCTATCTCTCTCTCCCTCTACCTTCCTCTCTGAAATCAATAAAGAAATATATTTTTGAAAGAATAGATGAATTATATTAATGTGTGAAGTGCATGTGTGCACACATTCTATATATATACACACACATTCACAATAATATACCACACACTCAGACACTCACAACTCAGACACACTCACACACACATCCATACATTCACATATACCCATATACTAGTATTCACACACACACACACACACACACACACACACACACACACACTTTCCTAAGACTAAGAATATGATCTTTAAAAAGTCAGTAGATGAGGAGAAATTAAAACTGGCAAAATCGAAGTTAGTGACCCAGAATATCACATGAAAGAAATCTCTAACAGCAGAGTGATGATTCAATAGGTTAAAAATGATGAGAAGAAAAGATAAGAGATTTAGCTACTAAATCCTGGAGACCCAACATGAGGACAATCCATTTCCATTTCAAGACCGGTGGAAAAGCAACAATAATTATACAAATCAGGAAGAAACTATCCCAAGCAGTAGACAGCTCTGAACAGTTTCTAATTGATTTGAAGAAAAGCCTCAGACCTCTTAAAAAATTTCAGAATATAGTATTAGAAAAGAAATAAATGTCCTAAATTCTCACCACCAGATAATACCTACTTAATTATTAAAAATTAAGATATGTACAAAGAAAATTGGAAAATTCAATGGTTTAGAAACAGTGAAAGGAAAAATCTTCCTTCATCTTTTGCATTTCCTTTCCAGACTTGCTGCAAAAGGTAATCTCTTTAATAGTTCCTATGACTTCTCACTGCCCCCAAGTCTATTCATATGTCAGCACATATATCTACATAGATACTTATTTATTCATATGAATGAAAACTCTGTAGGTTATCCTCTTTGATCACTTAATATATCTTGCATATCAATATATGCCTAATTTTTTAATATTATAATAAAATTTGGACATGATGTGATTTTCCAACCAACCTCTTATTAAATGGACACTTTGATTCTATTCTAGTTGTTTTTCTCTTACTACCATGAGCAATCATCCACAAAAAACTCATAGGCCTCTTGTAAACCTACCTACAGGGAAATTTCAAGCAATAAAATTACCAGGTCAAAGGCACTTGCGTTTTTACAATATTCTTGGCAAAGAGATAGCACTTAATAAATATTTTTAAACAAACATAATGGTCACATTGTTCATAGAAAGATAGCATTTATTTGTATCCTATCTTAAAGACTTTTGAAGTCACTATAGTCTGTAGAATGGTAACCCAAAAAAGGGAACCTGGACACATGATCTTATTGGAAAGTCTTTGCAGCTTGAAATGGGGAGATCCCCTGAATTATCCAGGGGGCCCTGTATCAGAAACAGATGACCTTATAGGAGTGGAGTAGAGGGACCTGTGACGGGCACATTGAGGAGACAGTGACGTGAAAGGCAGAGATTAGAGGGAGGAGCCACAAGCCCAGGGACACCAGGGCAGCCACCAGGAGCTGAGGAGGCCGGTAGCAGGTTCTCCCCTAGAGCCTCCCAGCCAGTGTGGTCCTGCCAACATTTAGGATTCTGCCTTCCAGAACTGTGAGAGGATCGAGTGCTGCTGCTTAAGCCACCAAGTCTGTGCCATGTGGAAGGCAGCCTCAGGAAATGCATCCCGTCATTACTGCTAAATTGGAGCCCGGTGGTAAAACGGAAAAGCGCATCTAGAGTTTGGAGGCAACTTGATTTTGAACCAAAAGACAGGTCAAATTCCAGGGTTCTGCCCCAGAGAGCAGCCCTCTTCAGCTCCCCCTCCCCAACCTCCCTCTCACACAGTTACCTTTCCCACCCTACCCCCAGGCACATTGTCTCCAGCGCATACGCATACATTATCTCTTGGCCAGTTCCAACAAAGGAAAGTAAAAACAATGAACCAGTTTTTCTTGGTTTTGGCACAGGCAGACACAATACTAATAGATCCAATCCAGACTTTGAGAAAGAAATTTATAAATGCTTCGGGGTTTGTTTGTTTTTTCTTAAAAGCTCAGGTGGTGGCAGATGGAGACTCACATGTCTACATCCATCTAATCGTAATTGATCCAGCGAGAGTCTTTCCAGAGAGGGCAGAGCATTTCCCAGGCTTCAGTCTCTCCCTGGTGAAGAATTTTCATGCCATCTGGAACAAGGCGGTCTGCTTCTTCACAAAAGCTTGAAGCTCATTACTGGCCAATTCCAGCAAAGATGGCTGAGAACCATGGAGGGACCCTCGCCATGTTCCAAGCCACTGCTCCCTCGCTGGCCAGGTCTGACTTAATGAAACCAATCCTGTTTAACTCTGAGAGATAATGCTTACTGTTTAAAGAGCACTGCCAAATGTAGAACCGCAATTCTTTCATGTTGTTTCTCACAACAAAATAATGAGACAGGAATGGGGTAGGGGGAATTGTATATATTGATGACTGTACATAGTTTTGAAGAAGAAAATTGATTTTCAAAGCCCCCGACTTCAATCCCACCGATGTCCCCCACACCATAGTGCCCCTGAGGATTGACCCATGGGTTTAGACATAAGTGGAAATGAGCGTGTTTATGTCCAGGTACTCTCTCTTCTTGGGGGGTGAGATGTCCCAGGGCTGAGAAGGGATCATCCCTGTGCACACATGCAAAGGGGCATCAACATTAGGACGTTTCTGGCCATCCAAGCCCCCATAATCTTCTGACTCAAGGTCATTGCTCATGGTGTGTTTTTGCTTTGAATAAGATTTACTATGAAAATATCCCATGTCACCCTAGCTGGTTTTTCTCAGTGGGTAGAGCCTTGGCCTGTGGACCAAAGGGTCCTGGGTTCAATTCCAGTCAAGGGCACGTACCTTGGTTGCAGGCTCCTCCCTAGCCCCAAGAGGGCCATGTGCATGAGGCAACCAATTGATGTGTTTCTCTCACATTGATGTTTCTCTCTGTCTTTCCATCTTTCTTCCACTTTCCCTAAAAATCAATGGGAAAATATCCTTGGGTAAAGATTAACAAAATAATAATAATAATAATTTTAAAAATATACCCCATGTTGAACTCTATTTTGGGTTAAATGTGGATTTAGTCTTTACCATCAACATTGCTCTGGTCTCCTGCTACCATGGGTCTTCTTATACCCAAGAGGGAGATCATGGGAGAGCACATATGTACTTAAAACTTATGTGTCTGAGTACATAGTTCTCAAAAGGTTGGATGCCTACATCTCCCTGGCAAGTCATCAGTAATAATAAGGTTTCTGGGGTTCGTTCTCCATAGCTCTACAAAAAGCAATGTAAAAGCAGGACCAATTGTGCTTTTAGGAAATGCTGGGAAAATTCTTTGTTTCTTATGACTACTAGAAACCAAAAAAGTTATTCTCTAAAGACAATTCCCATTTCTGTTTTGTGGGACATAGGAGTAATAAGGAATTTGAATTAAAGGCAAGAGATCTGGATTTATATACTCAAATTCATTTATTCACTAAATGTGTATGGAGTCCCCACTGTGCCAACCATCTACTGGGGCTGTAGCAGTGAGCAAAACAGGCTCCAGTCGTAACAAGCACACCTTCCACTGGGCAAAGTCAGGCCGTGAACATGCATCAGTTTAATCTCTAGTTTTCAGCAAAGCTATTTAGAGATTCAGGGTCGACCAGTCCTGCTGTCCTCACCCTGATGCCCTGAACTGGAGGATTCCAGAAAGCTATAAACAAAGCAGCTGGCCTCACATCTGTCATTTCATTAAATAGCCAGGAAAAAAAATTGCCATGAGAGTGACTCACACCAAACCAGCAGCCATTCAGCCATACCGGAAGTGCTAGTCCTGCATGGGAATCCTTAAGGACGTGGACTCCTCTAAAGAGTGGGATTCGGGGAGGGTGTACATGCCCTCCAAGGATGCCTCCTGGTGCCCGGGGGACTTCTTCCACTTCCGTGCACCTGTTCTGCTGTTATATTCATACACATTCCCAGAGACTGTGAGAAAACACAAAACACAAAGAATGTAGATTATAAGGAACTCACAAAGCATTGGTTCATCCCACGGTGTTTACTGAGCATTGGCTATATAGCCAATAGTAACAAGCTGTTTGTCTTGTCAAGCCTTGCTCTGTTACCAAAGGGAAAATGAGAAGCAAGACTTGAAGCAGTGTGTGATTTCATGTGCATTAAAAATTGCCCCTTTAGCACTAGAGATATCTTCTCTGGTGGAGGAATGGTGTTTCATCTTAACCATGGTAGTGATCATGTGAATCTATATAGGTGATTAAATGTCACAGAACTATTCCCGCAGATGTAAAAAATAAGTGGATGCCCAAGCTGACCCAATCTGCAGACCAGTTCAGTGACCAGTGTCAGTTTCCTGGTTTTGGTGCTGTAGCTTTAGAAAACGTTGCCTTTGGGATAAACTAGGTGATGGGTATAAAAATTCTCAATTTCTTGGGAATTTAATTATTTTAAAATCAAACATTTTTTTAAAAAGTCAAAATATTGTTTAAAGTTTCCCTCTAGTGAGGTGTGTGTCTTTCACAGTGTCAGAGATTCCCCTGAGGAGTGAGGACTCTCAGCTCCATGCTGGGCCAATAGATATATGAAAAGATACTCAACATCTCTAAACATCAGAGAAATGCAAATTAAAACTACAATGAGCTATCACCTCACACATGTCAGAATGACTATCATCAATCAATCAACAAACAAGTGTTGCTGAATGGTGGGAAAAAGGGGAACCTTGTGCACTGTTGATGAGATGGCTAATTGATATAGCCACTATGAAAGTACAGAGATTTCTCAAAAAATTAAAAATAGAACTATCCTATGACCCAGAAATTCCACTTCTGGGTATTTCCAAAGAAACCCAAAACACTCATTTGAAAAGATATATGCACCCTTATAATCACTGCAATATTATGTACATCAACCTAGATGTGAAAGCAATCCAAGTTCCATCAATAGCTGAGTGGATAAAGAAAATATGGTACATATATAATGGAATATTCGTCGACCATAAAAAGGAATAAAATTTTATCATTTATGACGACAGGGATGAACTTAGAGGGTATTGCCTTAAGTTAAATAAGTCAGACAGAGAAAGACAAATACCATATTATTTCACTTATATGTGATCTAAAGAATAAAAGAAATGAACAAACAAAACAGAAAGAGACCCATAGATACAGAGAAAAAGATGAGGGCTGCCAGAAGGGAGGGGGGTTAGGGAGCTGCGTGAAAAAGGGGAAGGAATTAAGAAGTACAAATTGGTAGCAACAAAATAGTCATGAGGATGTAAAGGACAGGATGGGGAATATAGTCAGTAATATTGTAATAACTATGTATGATGCCAAGTGGATAATCAAAGGAATCACTTTGTAAATTATATAATTGTCTAACCACTATGCTGCACAGCTGAAACTAATATAAAATAATATCAAATGACAACTGTAATTAAATGTTTTTAATTTTTAAAGAGTAAGTGGGACCCACCTGAGCCTAACGATGCAACTACCCACACCAGGTTGTCAGGCACGTAATTAAGCCACTTCGGACCCACCAGGCCACACCAGCTGCCAATGAAGTTTTTTTTAATACAATAAAGACAATGACTTGCCCAGGTGACACCTGCACAAATTCCTGACCCACATTTTGAGATATAATAAGATGGTGATGGTTCTAAGCCAGTAAGTCTCAGGGTAGTTTACACAACAGTAACCAGGAGAAGAAGAAGAAGAAGAAAAGTGTTTTATTTGGCCTGGAAAATGGAGTTTGTTTTAATTGAACTACTTACCTACATTTAAAAATGGGCGAATTTCAGGTAAAAATTTAGACTTCCAGCTTCTTTTTAAGCATCAGAATTCTGGCAACTCCAGGCCCATTCCCAATGTGGCAATAATTTGATGAAGCCCAATAACAGTTATGGCTCCCAAGTATCAACTGCCATTGATTACTGAACTGTCTTATCTGGCACCTTTTAGTCATTTATTTTACCTGCCTGGACCCTGAATGGTTTGCTTTAGTATAGAGTCTCATTATGCAAAGCACAATGAATAAGTAATTTATTCACATAGCTTAGCATCCAAATAGGCAAAAGGGGCTTAATTCAAAGATACTTCAGCACCATACCTGGATCAATGGCTTCTCCATCAAATATAGTTTCATACACAATGGTTTCCTTTAAAAAAAAAAACACACATAAAATATTAGCAATAAAGTCACTTGATAAAATTAATTTTGACAAGTGTTGAGTACTTTGAGTACCTAGGTGATTTCTTATAAATTGCCTTGTTTTTCTTATGTAGAGAGCTAGCAGCTCTGGTTCAAAAATGTCCTGCTATTCTTTTTATTTTTATTATTGTATTTTTTAAAATATATATTTTATTGATTTTTTTTTTTTTTTTTTTTTTTTTTTACAGAGAGGAAGGGAGAAGATAGAGTTAGAAACATCAATGAGAGAGAAATATCTATCAGCTGCCTCCTGCACACCCACCACTGGGGAAGTGTCCGCAACCAAGGTACATGCCCTTGACCAGAATCAAACCCGGGACCTTTCAGTCCCCAGGCTGAGGCTCTATCCACTGAGCCAAACCGATTTCGGCTGTCCTGCTATTCTTGTCTCCTCCCAGCCCCAGCCCCCACATCAGTCTGCCTGCCATGCCCGCCCTCAACTCAGATCTTTCTGATGTGAAGTCTCTTATCGTGAAAGGGGAACGTGAGGGCTGACTTGTGCTCCCTCAGACTTCATATGTAGAAGCCCTAATGCCCTGCACCTCGGAGTGTGACTAGATTTAAACATAGGGCCTGGAAATGGGTGAGTAAGGTAGAATGAGGTCATGTCCGTGGGCCTTAATCTAGTATGACTGGTGCAGCTGTAAGATCAGAGGTTAGGACCCAGACCAAAGAGCGGAAAAAGGACCATGTGAGGACACAGAGAAGGCAGCCACATGCAAGCCGTGCCGAGACACCTCAGAAGACACCAAACCTGCTGACCTTCCCCTGAGACTTCGAACCTCCAGAACTGGGAGAAAATAGGTCTTGTTTCTGCCACCCAGTCTGTGCTGTTGTTTTTCCAGCCCTCACTCACTACCTGAGTGCTTGGCTGGCGTCAGTGTCATAAAGGAAGACGCAGGGAAGAGAGCAAGGAAGGAGAACAGGCTCATGGTCAGTCAGGACTCAGGCAGACAAACCTGTTAAAGGGACAGCAGGTGGAGAGAGAAAAGGGAGATGGAGACTAAAACATGCCTTCTTGCCCTAGCCGGTTTGGCTCAGTTGGTACAGTGGTGGCCTGTGGATTCAATGGTCCCGGGTTTGATTCTGGTCAAGGACACATGCCTGCGTTGTGGGCTCGATCCCCAGTGTGGGGTGTGCAGCCAGTCAATGATGATTCTCTCATCACTGATGTTTCTCTCTCTCTCTCTCTCTCTCTCTCTCTTTCTCTTCCTCTCTGAAATCAATAAAAAATATATTTATATTTTTTAAATGCCTTCTTATACTGTTTCACATGTCTATTTCCTGGAACAGCCATACCCTTGTATAGCTGTTGACATGGATCCATTAATGAGTGAGTATTAGCCAATTTAAAGATTTCAATACTCCAGAATACAATTTTACTACCTGCTAAGAAACCCCAGGGTTGAAGGACTTATTCAGCTTTATCACATATGTAATCTATTTTCAAATCTAGATTTTTTTCTTTTTTATGTACTGATTTACCTAATACCACCTTGTTGTGAAAAAACAGATCTTATTTTTAAGCAGTGGTAAATAATGTTGTTTTTGCTGAATATACATACAATATTAGCAGCAAAATTGGACCTAAGTGAGATTCTAAGACTGAATTTGAAATCCCATTTTTGTAATTCAATAGAAGCTGATACATTGAAATAATTTTATTTCTTTCAATGATGCCTAAATAGATTTACCACGTGTTTACATGGAAGAACTTTTTATTGAACAAAATTATAGAGAAACTACAGTCCTCTTTCTTCTAACTACGGAGGGCTCATAAAAATGTACTTACTGTTAATACTTTTAGTTTTTTATTCCTGTTTTCCATGACAATCTTTTCCATTTGATTTTTATCTCCTGTTCAACAAATACATAAACAAACAAATAAATGACAGGTATCTATCTAATGAGTGGCTTTTTAAAATCACACAATTCATCATAATCAAGTGACAATGAGCAATCTGTATCTTACCTGCAATATACTTTATACCCCTGTATGAAAAGAAAATTTGACAAAATATCAGCTTTATTAGACTACCACATGGTAAACATAAAAATTATGTTTTGCAGCACCTGGCTATTATTACCACATCTCTCTTATCCCCAGTTTTTAAAACAATTCTATATGGCCAACTAATCTCATTAACCATCACCACCTCCCATCGCTGAGTCATAAAGGATCTCTGCTTAGTTAATAAAAACTCATAATAAACTCTATTTTGGAGGCCATGGTATTCTGCTCCCTGATGAGCTATTTAGGATGGTGATGAAAGCATCTGCATTTTCTCCATTTCTTTGGCATCTGCCCAGTTTCATAGAGATTCAAAGCAAGTGTGGCGAGGGCACCTGGACTTACCACCTGTCCATAGTCCCCGGTGGCTGTCACACACCTGCCTGTGCTGCATAATGTGGGAGTTGTTTGGCTTGTCTGCTCACAAATTGACTTGTTTAAAATCTATTCTCACAGAAAACGTGTTTCAGAGGCGCTAAGGTAGACCCCAAAGACACACTGTTGCTGTTTTTAAAGTTAGAGCAGGTTTGGAGCTGGGAAAGGGACCGTCAGCCTTTGTTTCTCAAGTGCGTTCCTCTGTGCCTCTTCCTGGGCACTTAGGCAGAAGCCCTCAGTGGAGCATCACCAAAGGATTTCAACTCTTTGCATCGGAAGCTTAGAAAGAAAAACCACGTACTTGGGCTTGGGCTTGGAGACTTGCTTGGCCATCTTCTGACAGCATTTCAAGGTGCTTCTGGATCTCCAGAGCAGGAAGCATACCCAGGACGCCAACCCGGCAAAGAAAACAGCCATCAGAGTGAAGATGAAAGGAATGTACCAGCCCCTGGAGGTGTACGTGTTGATGGCTGTGTACACGACGGTCAGGCCTTTTCTTTGCTGGGAAACAGCATTTCAAAGCAAACAGAGCATTAGTTTATGTTTTTCAGAGGGCATCTGTTTACACATGAGCATCAGTATGGAGCCGTGGTCCCATACAGACAGTGGGGAATAGACCCAGATGTGTGGATTTTTGTAAAAACCCACAGGGGATACTAAGGAACACCCAAGCCCAGAGAAGGCACCAATTTCAGGATCTGCAGACTTGAACTGTATGCAACGACCACATTTCCCGTCTTGACTGCAGTTTTCTCATCTGGAAAATCAAGGGATTGAAGTAGGTGGCACCTGAGGTTTTTTTAGGCTTGTATGCCTCTATTATCTGCTCCACACAGGATAAAACCCTTTTTTGCAGCTTGAGAGAACAGTGTTTTCATAAAAATCAAATATTCTGGTAGAAAGATGTATCATCCATGTTGTAAAAAAAAAAAAAAAAACGACTGTATTTCAAAGGACAGAAGACAATAGCATACACGAACCACACAGTCTACTGCAGAGGCTTTCTCCTTGGGTGCCTCTGAAGCTGTTCCGGGATCCTGCAGAGGCTTTGCTGCTCTATTTTTAAAATAACAAAACACTAAAGGGTCTGCTAAACTTCATAGCCTCAGATCAAACATTAGATGAAATGAATATAACACATGCACTACAGTGCCTAGCACATGGTAGGTGCCCATTACTATGAATGATATGGCCAACAACAGAGAGTAACATTTAAAAGTGCCGATTTGTAGAGATATTTAACTGGTAGATTTCATTGGCCAGTGGGCCTTTCTGGTGGGTGGGACTTTCAGACCACCTAAACATAATTAGTTCCTTGTGCTCCACCTGCAATTATCACAAATGATCACCACGGTTTATACGCACAGTTTACATTTAGGGATGCACACTATAAAATGTTGCCTGTTGGGTGGGTGGGGTAGAGAGCAAGTGGAAAGGCATTTGGGTGAAGGTGTTGGCCTATATAACCTGCTAGCCCTTTTAGATGAAACTTTTATTTACAAGAGAATATTTCCCACACAGAGACCCAAATTAAATTCCATAACTCTTTACTTCCGAACTGGTGGTTGCAGAAGGTGGCACACTGGCCCTTGCCACATAAATATCCATAATAGCAGTGCCTGTCCTAGGCTTGGTGGCTTTGCCATATTTCAAGTTGTCATCAATTATGTGGACCACAAGATGGTACTGCCGCTGCAATTCAGCTCCAGATTCAAAGTGAAAAGCGTTCTTCACAATTAATCTTGGAGTATTTGAACCTCGAGTTGGGTCAAATCCGAAGTGATGGTTCTCATTTCCTTTAAAAGGGATAGTTGAAAAAATATTTTGAGATATGTTAAACGGTTTCCTCTAACTGTCATAGGTAGCTTTTTAAACACAATAGTGATAAATAAATAACATTTCCATTGGTCTATGAATTCCTACATCTACACAAGGCTTATAATAAATTGAAGTCAAGTAAGTAATAAATTCAGTTGGTTAAGATCATGAATCCTATCTCCATATAAGGTCAGGAGGATCAGACTATTATCAAATTTATCTGCCTTAATTGCTTCCCCTTCCTTTATCTCCCACTCAGAGAAATTTTGTTTCCACTGTCCGCTTAGTCTAGATCAATATCAGATGGGCCAGTCAGACCACAAATATCTATTGAGCCCCTTCTCAGTTTCAAGTCCAGTTTCAATGGCCCTGGAGACACTGTTGTAAAACTACATGCACATAATACCCCCACCACCTAGCAAGAGAAGCAGACATGGAGCTAGTCCTTGTAAGGAATTGTCAAGGCGATTACTGACATCCACACTCCCATTCTTTCAGGTACATGACAGCAGGTCTGACCTCCAAACTTTAGAAACTTCTCTTTGTTATACTGTCTCATGATACCCAGTAATTTTCCTTAATAGAACTTTTCATACTTTGTAATTTTATAATTGCTGATCTTACCACTCATGCAATGAATGATGAGTTCCATAAATATAAGATTCATATCTATATTGTACCTTATTGTGTGCCCATCTTTGTGTGGGTGTGTGTTTTTGTTTATTTATTTGTTTGTTTGTTTGTTTGTTTTACACCCTGCAGTAGAATAGCACATTACAGGTGAATACTAGGAGTAGAACTAACATACTAGTACTAGTATACATACTGTGTGGCACAAATTTTCCTAATTTATTTTTTGGGGGGAGGGTTAATAAAATATTTTATTTACATAGTAACTCTCATAGTTCAAGGATAAAAATAATGTTGATTTGTAACCGAATAGTGGAATGAATTAATGGAAACCTTGACACCCAGGAATCACTTCAATATATATATATATCCCAAATTTTCTACTATGTAAAAGCATGCCCCTACTTCAGCTTCCCTCTCCTTTTGAGAATTTTATTCTATCTTTTATACTTCTCATTTAATAATTTTATGATCTTCCTCAGGCTGGACCCATCTGTTCATACTACTTCTTCTAGGCCATGCTCTCTAGATTCACTGAGCTCTGTAGACATTTATAGCTGCCATTGGGGGCTAGATTACTTGGCTGTAACCATGGTGTGCTGTGATCAGAAGATCTCATGGAAATCCTGAGGCCTGGGTAAGGGTATTCAGAGTACGAGGGCTCCTGCTGGGTCCTCCCACCTGACTCTGGGGCAAATGGGCAAAGGTGAAAGCAAGAGAGAAGTGCCCTGGCTGGTGTGGCTTAGTTGGTGGGTGTCATCCTGTGCACCAGAGGTTGCCAGTTCAGTTCCCCATCTTTTAGTACATATTTGGTCTCCAATGAGTTTCTCCCATCTGTCATCTTATGACCAAAGTTGATATGGACCTCTGTGAATCCAACAATAATGCAGCTGAAAACACCTATCCTAGAGAATCTGTAACCTATCACATGGAAAGGGGGCTGCACAAGGACAACAGCTGTTGTTCCTTGTAACTTAACCAGCAGTGTTTCCCATGCAGGTCCAAAGTCTCTTCATTGTCATCGAAATGGATGATAGATTGCTCTAGCCAGTTTGGCTCAGTGAATAGAGCTTTGGCCTGAGGACTCAAGGGTTCCAGGTTCAATTCCAGTCAAGGGCACATAACGCAGTTGCAGGCTCCTCCCCATCCTATGCCCTTGTCAGGGCGCGTGCAGGAGACAACCAATCGATGTACTTCTCTCACATCAATATTTCTCTCTGTCTTTTCCTCTCTCTTTCACTCTCTCGAAAAGTCAATGGGAAAATATTCTCAGGTGAGAATTTTTAAAAAAGAAATCAATGATATTCCACAAGAGGAATTAAATTGGATATATGGAAGTGAAAAGGATTTCTTAGGGAAACTTAATGCCATAGATATGAAATAGCTTAACATTTATAAACATCGTTATTTCCAAGTTTATATCATGTCGAAGAGGATACGATTAATGTCAATTTAAGACATGCTCATGATTAAAAGGAATAAGAAAAGTCCGAAACCGGTTTGGCTCAGTGGTAGAGCGTCAGTCTGCCGACTGAAAGGTCCCGGGTTCGATTCTGGTCAAGGGCATGTGCACTGGTTGCAGGCACATCCCCAGTGGGGGATGTGCAGGAGGCAGCTGATCGATGATTCTCTCTCATCGATGTTTCTAGCTACCTATCCCTTTCCTTTCCTCTCTGTGAAAAATCAATAAAATATATTTTTAAAAAATAAATAAATAAAAGGAATAAGAAAAGAAATAATAAAATTATTCACCAGAAACTATCTCAAAGCGCATTTCAAAATCTTGTGAATCTCTGTCGTGGCAGTTTAGTTTGAAGCCATTGACATTTGTCCCAGGAACAACATTGTCAAAAATGACGGCCTTAGAGAGAGAGGGTGTGCAGACAGGTGCCTCGTCATTCTCATCTTCGATGTCTACAGTGACCTGTCAGCAGGGAGGGAGACAGAAACATCACATCCACGCCATTTGACTATTTATACACAAAATCTGAAATAAGCATCTGGGTAGAGACCGATCACTTAGGATTACTAAATTAAAAGTCTGCCATTGTGAGTCTGAAGAAATGTTCCTGCAGATTTGGGTTCTGGCTGTCAACCAACTATTTGGCTGGCTTATTATTCCTGGGTCAGCTGTGACATTCGGTGTGGCCATTAGGGAGAGCTTTGGGCTCATTAGAAGAACCTGTAGAAAACTCAAAAATTTCATAAATGAAGAGAAAAGGAAAGCTGAAGAATAGAAACTGAAGAATAATGCTTCTAAAAAGTGTAATTCCTTGAACCTTTTAAATATTTCTGCTTAATGGCAAATATATCCTGAGTTTGCTCTTTTGTAACTTAGGGTCCTCCTCTGCATCATTCTCTCAAGCCCAATATGTTTTTTGGTAACAATATGATTACTTCAAAGTGTGCTCTGACTTTAATCAGGAGCTCTTATCAACCTTGTCTTAATTAAAATGCCATAAACTGGGAAACCATGATTTACATGGGAAAAGATCAAAATATCAAGGATTTTTAAATGTCAGTGATCGAATACCAGTCGGATAAGAAAGGTTATCTGCCCACTTTCAGATGAGTAATAACTTTCTCACAACATTTGCAGAATCATCCCTGGTGTGCTCGTATTTGCAAGTATTATCTTTCTAAAACGTTTTCTGTATTGTTTTAACAACACAGCTAAATTCTTTGGGAATAATTCAATCTCTAATGCTACTTCTGTAGTTGAATGCAGCTATCTGTTCTCTTCTATATGTGGGGTGCTTTCATGTGATGCTAGGGAGACTACCGTGATATAATGGAAACAGACAGGACTGGAAATCTTTATTAAAACTTTGGGCCTTCACCTTGCCAGGACAGCACATTACAGGTGTATACTAAGATAGAACTAACATGTGTATTGTGTGTGGTATAGATTTTGGTACAAGTGACTTAACCTTGTTTTCTTCATCTGTAAAAGTGGGAAGACAACCAAGCTACAGAATCCTGTCCACTTAACTGTAGTTTGGTCCCCGTGAAAGTCAATCTAACTGGTGCTCACAAGGACACATCAGGAAACCTAATCACCACATGAGCAGCAAGCCAGGTCTCTGTACAGTAAGAGGAAAGGCACAGTGAGTCATCAGGCCAGCTGGGGATCTTAAAATTCTTCCACCCTGCCCTAGCTGGTTTGGCTCAGCAGATAGAGCGTTGGCCTGCAGAGTTAAGTCCCAGGTTCAATTCCAGACAAGGGCACATGCCCAGTTGTGATCTTGATCCCCAGTAGGGAGCATGCAGGAGGAAGCAGGTCAATGATTCTGTCTCATCATTGATGTTTCTTTCTTTCTTTTTTAAAAAAAAATATATTTTATTGATTTTTTACAGAGGAAGGGAGAGGGATAGAGAGCTAGAAACATCAATCAGGAGCCTCCTGCACACTCCCTACTAGGGATGTGCCCACAACCAAGGTACACGCCCTTGACTGGAATCGAACCTGGGACCCTTAAGTCCACAGGCTGACACTCTATCCACTGAGCCAAACCTGTTTCGGCTCATCATTGATGTTTCTCTCTCTCTCTCCCTCTCCCTTCCTCTCTGAAATCAATATAAAATGTATTTTTTTAAAAATTCTTCCATCCTATATCTGTTTCTTTTTCAGTGACAAAACCTTCTAGTCATTAATAACACATACCACATCATTAACACAGCAGCATTCACTCTTGATATCTGTTAAGAATTCTTCGATGCTTCTAAAATAATTTAGAAGCCACACACACTATCCCCCACTGCAATGCCATAAGAATGTCCCTTGGTTAACTACCTTCGTTGTAAACATTACCTCCCAATGAGAGGCAGCCTGGGTTTGCTCAGTTCTACAAACCCTGAGTGACTTCAAGTAATTTTTCTAAACTCTGTGCCTGAGGTTTCCCATCTGTAGAGTGGAAATGATGATAATATTGCCTTCCATGAAGACTGAATGCAAAGATGAACTACATCAACATATAAAATGTGCCAAGAACAAGAGCTTGCACATGATAAATGTTAGATGTGTATTTGCAATCACTACAAACTTCTAAATCTTGTGAGAATTACGTTTATTATGTGACCACTTTTCATTGTTGTTCCTTGACCATTTCAATTTTAATAAATTAGAACTTAATGGATCATCTTTATTATATCAAAACCTGAGGGTCTCTACTCACCACGGTCATCGCTGTGCGAGGATGAAGTCTGTCACAGTCCACACCTTCCACCGTGAGGTTATACTGCTTCACAGACTCGTAGTCTGGCTGGGTGGTGAGCTCAATCATTCCAGAGCGAGGGTGAATCCAGAATCTTTGTATAACTTGAATGTCACCACTAGCTATTTTGTACGTAACACAGTTTGGTGGGTAGTCTTCATCAATGGCGGTCACTCTTCCAACTTTGTAGAAAGCTGACATTAACAGTTATTAAGGTTCATTCTTGTCATGCAGATACACAAGTTTTAAAAGCTTGACAAGTCTTTGCCTTCCAAATAGTATCATAGTTTCTCAAATGGCCAATCTGAATGCCTTTGAACAATGAAATGTGCTTGAAAAGCCTAACTCTACATGATGGAAGTGGCTTAAGTCAAATAATATGAGTAAACCAGAACTTCATAATATCAATAATTACATGTATTGCATGCTTATTTCCTACTACAAATTATACTAAGACTAGAGGCCCAGTGCACAAATTTGTGCATCAGTGGATCCCTCAGGGTGGCCTGCAGGGATCCAGTGGAAACCTACAGTCCAACACCACCTGCCACTCCTGCCTGCTGCTCCCACTCATCCCGCCCCTGCTGTGGCTGCCACAGCTCGCACCTAGTCAGTTGTGATCAGAGGCACTTGCCAGCCATGAGCCCTGTGTCTGATGCCTGTCCCGACCTGCACCTGTCTGTCTGGTGTGGGTAGGGGGACGGAACACAGTGCCCAACACCAACTTCCTGGAGGCCAGGCAATGCTATCAGGATCGTGCCAGAAGCACAGGTTCATGGTGCCTGACCCATTCTCCTGAAATTAGACTCTAATTGGAGTGGGGATGGGAGTGGGGGCTACACAGCATATTTATAGTAATAAATAACAGGTATAACAGACTTGCCCCTCAGTCATTTTCTGACTGGACTATAAGTTCCAGGGAGGATGGATACCAGACTTTCTCCATGTAGTGAACACCACCACATATGACTAGACTCCTCCATGTAGTGAACACCACCACATAGGACATTGCAGTTGCTAATCATCAATGAAAATTACAGTGAAGGAACTATTTAATGGGACACCGTCAACTGCAGCCTCAGAGGATTTCTTTCAGTTTGCATCTTTTTTTTTTAATATATTTTATTGATTTTTCACAGAGAGGAAGAGAGAGAGATAGAGAGTTAGAAATATCGATGAGAGAGAATTATCGATCAGCTGCCTCTTGCCCACCCTCCACCAGGGATGTGCCCGCAACCAAGGTACATGCCCTTGCCGGGAATCGAACCCAGGACCTTTCAGTCCGCAGGCCAACTCTCTATCCACTGAGCCAAACCGGTCCCGGCTGCATCTTTCTTTGACTAAGGTTCATCCGTCTCTGGTAATGTTATTAAGCAGGCAATGAACACAACTCAGAATACTAACAACAGAGAAAACATACTTCTGGAAAAAAAATAATATTTCATTATGACAAACCCAGAGTATAAAGAGTCCAACCTCAAAAAAGGTGTTACAAATGATCAGCGACCACTTAAAATAGATTAAGGTAAAATTGCCATCTCTATCCTACAGTTCTAGGCAAAGTTGGCACTGTTTTTGCATTTAACACCTGGTTAAGCATAATGGAAAGCCTATCCTTCTGTATATATAAAATTAACCCTCCAATAAAATTAAAAGTCATCTTGAGCAACTTTAGCTAAAGTTTGAAATAGAGTAATTATGAAACTCTGCGACTCTGCCAGACATCTTATCAAAAACCATTGGAAATGAAATGTGTTTTCCCTTGTGACCTGCAACCCACTGTGATTCAATTTTCATGTATTTTCTTCTAAATCATTTCTGTTAAAGAAAAAAAAAACTTTTTTGATTATGCCTACCTTCTTTCATAAGCTATTTGTCAATGAGAGATTTAGTTGCTCATTACAGACCATCGAATTTTATTTTAAGTTAAATATTATAGAGTCCCATAATTTTGTTAGGATAACAAAAAAGCCTCATGTGGTGCTCAAGGCACTCTGACAGACTATGCTAACCAACAGCATGAAAAACACTGCACGTTAATGGATCGTCTAATGTGCTCCTGGACTACAAGCTAAAGGTTAGATATTCTGAGGAGAGTTTATTTTCAGAGTAGTTTTAATTCCCTCATTTAAAATGAGCCATGACTGAGCTGTGTAGATGGTTTAGTCTCCTCTGGGGGGGGATTGCCTCAGAACACCAACCCTCTTTTAATTTCATTTATTCTTTGTCCTCTGGTAAGGAAGATCAAAGAATGTTTTGTGTGTGTTTTTAATGGCAAGGAAAAAATACTGGCACATGGTAGGCACTGTATTGTTAGTGGTTATTATTATTATTGGCAATACTGTTGCGGCTTTTGTCAGTATGAACCATATACTTTACATACATGTAATTATCAGTTAATTCTCATCTCAACTATGACATTGTTATTGTAATCTCTATTTCCCAGATGAGAACTCGAGGGCACATGGAGGTTATATGACCTGCCTAAAGTCATTTGACTAACAGTGGCAGAGATAGAATTCAAATCCAGTTCTATTTGATTCCAACTCTCGTTTTTCTGCTACATCATGCTGCTCCCTATGAAGATGGAAAAGTCCTCTCTCTGTTACAACAGGACATTAACTAGCCTTTTGGAGAGTAGATCACACACACAACAAGATCCCCTTATCTCTTCGTATGAATTCTCTGAACTTGTGTTCAAACTCCTGGTAACCTCAATCATCAAAATTCATCAAAAAAAAAGCAGATGAAACTACAAAACAGAGACCTGGACCAGGAATTTGGAAGTCTGTATTACCCATCGTCTCTGCCATTCACTAGCTGTGTGGCCCAATTCTCTGTCCCGCGCCCACGGTAAAAAAAAAAAAAAGGTTGAATCTTTGCAGTCCTTCCAAATTGACAGTGCTATAATTGAAAATTCTAAATTCTTCCCATAAGCCATCACGAAGGTATTAAATTATGATTAAGAAAAGCTAGCCGTATTCAACACATTTAGAGAGTCCTACCTTGAAAACATAAAATTATATTTCAGGACAGCTTCAGATAGTTGGAAAAGAAACGGACATACCATTGGTAAAACACTTGGTTCCTACTATTTGCTATCTTTTAAAAATGCCAGTTTCCAAAGGCAAACCTATAAGATGGTGAAAAGATCTGGGGCTTGAGGAGGGGAGAAGGGTGAATAGGCAAAGCACAGATAGATTTTTAGGGCAGTCAAACTATTCTGTATGATACCCTCTGGTCACACACCTATTTGTGTGTGACTATACATTTGTCCAGACTCATAAAATGTACAACATGAAGAGTGAACCTAATGAAACCTATGAATGGTGGGTGATAATGACGTGTCCATGTAAGTTCACCAGTTGTAACAACTGTACCCTGGGATAGGAGATGTTGATAACGGAGGAGGTTATGGGTATGTGGGAGCCCACAGGTACGTGGGAAATCTTTGTACCTTTCTCTCAATTTAAAACTAAAACTGCTCTAAAAAAATAAAGTCTATTTAAAAATGCCCCAAAAAATAAAATAAAAAGATAAAAATAAAAAAGCCAGTCTTAATTTTTAAATCCAGACTGGTTGCTGTGAATATTGGAGGGTCATGGAAACCCTTCAGTCATCTGAGGAAGGCTGCAGGTCTTTTCCCTGAGGGACCCTGGAAACCAGTGCTCACCCCCTGCTTTATACTTACAACTTATCAGTTAGGCGATCATTAGAAACATGTGAACTATTTAACTTCTGTATAGAGACTCACCATAAAGCACTTCTAATAAAACTCCCTAGAGCTAGAAGACTGCCTGAACTGGAAGAAGTCAAAGAGAAAAAATAAATAAAGGGAATGAGGCTCTATCAACAAAAGGAATGACAACAAAACTCTATGGCGGAGCAGCAGGATCCTGTTTACACTAATTCAGTTTATATGCAATTTTTTTAGAACTGTCTGGTTATCTATATGTGTAAAAGCCAAGCTACCAGAAGGTCCAGTCACTATGACATGCATTGTGGCAACCAACCACCCAATCAGGGCCCTGATCAGCACCCCCCAATCGCCTGTGTTCCCTTCCCCCCCGGTTGGTCTCCCACCCTGATCGGGGGTGGGGCCGACCAGCCAACCCTCCACCTTCCCTTCCCTGCAATGGCCCACCCCTTATCAGCCCCCACCGAGGCAGGCAGCAGACCCACCCATGCACACATTCGTGCACCAGGCCTCTGGTAAACTATAAGATTCAACTGTTTTATGTTCCAGAACTAGGACCATACACGTGCATTCATTTTACAGAGTTTTAAGGATTTGTTCAAAACTGCATGGTAGGGCCAACAAAGAACTAAAATCCGAATATGTGGGCTTTTTAGGTCTAGTCTGTCCTCAAAACAGTTGTGTAATCATTGTATTGTTTGCAAGGAAACAAGCTGGTTTGAAGTAGTGGGATCTACCTGTGATGTGCTGGCAAATGATTAACAACCAACTCTCTGAGAAAAAAGAAAAATAAAGAGTGTGTGTGTGTGTGTGTGTGTGTGTGTGTGTGTGTGTGTGTCCTAATTCAATTCTAAGTCATGGCTTAGAAAGGATCTTGACTCTGGACCTGAAATCTGACCTCAGATGTTCACAAGATATAAATTGCATGGACAATGGCCACATTGTCTCTACTACCTTTACATGGGACCTAATCCAGAAGCAGGAAAGAAGAGAAATGGAATAAAATTATTGTGATGTCTATTTGTCCATCACAAAACAAAATCTGAGATCTGACATCAAGTTGCAAGGGAGCCTTTGAGGAGCCATCAGGATGATATGCTGAGGTCGCTGCCATTCTCTGAGGGTCTGGAACCCTTAAAACTCCCTCTCCTGCTTATGCTTTGTCACCTTCCCATTGGTCACCCATTTGGGATCTGGTAAGAGTTTCCTTGTGCTTCAACATCATGGAATGGGGGGAGGAGAGGGATCTCTTACCTCCTGATGTTTCTGGAACGGAGAATGAGTAGTGCGCAGCTTTAAACACGGGGCTGAAATCATTGGCCGGAGCAATCTGAACAATGATCATCACAGTTACTGTAAAATTGAACAGTGAATAAATGCTTTGTTGTATTGGCAGTTTTAGTCTACAAACAAGCTAAATGTGCCCCCAAAATAGGCTTGTTGGAAGATTTTAAACTACAATGAGATTCTCTCTGGTCCCAAATCCCTATTCCCATGCTCTACATTCTCAGGGAATATAAATGAATTCTAGCCAAAGATATATGTCATCTGCATGCCATATCTTATTTTATACAATAGTGAATATGTATGTGTGTATCATATATAGCACATACCGGTATAAGTGTATAGTTATATATTTTATAAAAGGGAGTTTATTGTATTGTTCATGAGTACAATCTCTTCCATTAGAGATTTTCTTGGAGTGTCATTCTCAACCCAGCATATGACATACTACAATACTTTCTGCTTTTACTGTATATGCTAGGGAGTGACATGGAAAGAGACTTGGAAAAGGCATGTTCAAGGATTGGCTTTGACATATCCTCTATGGCCTTGAACTAGCTTAACTTCTCAGAGGCCCAGTTTTTTCATCAATTAAAGAGGAATAATATCAGTTTCAATCTCCCACTTCATAGTATGTGAGGACAAAATGTGATCATGCCCAAAAAAAGTTTATTTACACTATAAAAAGCTAAGTAAAAAGTAGTCCATGTATTTTACTTACCTCACCCTGATGTGTGTGTACAGTGTGCCATAGAAAAATAAAATCTATTATTTATTTTAGACCAACAAGCTCAAACTAATGTATGTGAAAGTTGTTGAAAATAAGGAATTTGATGGTCAAACATAAAGCAAGCAAATTGCAAAGAGGAAGCTTTTTCTAATAAAAATAAAATAATAATTAACATTTAATATGCAAAGCATTAGTAGTAGTTTTGTCCCCATTTTACAGAAGAAGAAACTGAGGCTCTCAGAGTTAAGTGTTTTGCTAGGTTACACAACTAGTAAGATGTGGAGTGGGTACTGGACTTAGTTGTGTCTGCCAACATCTCCCAAAACATCTCCTCTAAAATGCTTAATATGTCAAGTGCAAGATGCTGAATTAAACAATGATTTAAAAGTTTCTTTATGGCAAGACTTCATGGATTTCTGATATGTCATTCTGTGTTTTGAATGTCCAGGTATGCATTGCTCTCCACAGTTATCTGACCCCAAAATTTTTGTTACTGGATTCTCTTATATTATAGAAATCATGTTCTGAAGAACACTTGTATAGTGTATCTCCCGAAAATCCATGCCACCTGTCAAACGAGAAAATTTAATCTGGGATCTATGGAACCCCACTTAAGAGAATCCATGGCATTCTTTATATTAGTTGTGTTTTTCCAGGAATAGGGTCTACAGTTTTCATCAGCATCTGACATGTGTCCTTAACCACCAGGAGCGGTTAGGAAGCGCTGCTCCACAGACACAGGTGATTCATGTGAAAGCCTCTATGTTTCCTTCAATAAATCCCAGTCAGGTGCCATAAGAGCAGGTGTTGTTTCCAACTTTGCTATACTATGATTTTTGTTTCATACATAAAGACTCGAAATTGTGCTAATTATCGGCCTATAAAAATAGACTGCATCGTGTGTGCAGTGATAAAAGCACCCTTTATGAGCAGTTGTTATGAATAAGTTGGTGTGTGAGGATCAGTGAGGATGTGGATTTAGTACTGTGAGATTTTTTTTTCTCTCCTTCTTGGAGAAAGGCTCCAATCCGGTGAGAAGAACAAATTCTTTATTGGACTAGTTAGGCCAGTAGGATGAGGAACTGCAAGAAAAAAAGCATTCTCTCTAAAAGATCAGCCGGGCTATGCAACAGGCTTTTGCATGAAACAGTAAGACTCCCTCAACGAGAAGCAGAGAAAACACAAAAGGAACACTTCTGAGCATATTGTCACGATGTGTTCCTGTCCCCTACACACTCCTCAGCATAGTTGGGCCACTTTAAGTCTACAAATCACATTTAAAACTTAAATTTAAACTTAAACTCTTACATCTGTGAGTCAAGTGGGATCTAAAGAATTTGAAGTCTTTTGCTTAAAGTTCAGCACTCAGGTCCTTTCGTTACAAACCTGTCTGACACATACCACCATTCCACCCTCCTATGTCCATGCAAAGCACTTTCCCACTGCTTCCAGCTGTAAGCTCAGAGTACTTCTTAACTCAATGGTCCAGGCAAACACCACCAATAGATCAGAATTGGCAGAGATCAAAGCCAAACATCACTCCTAAGTTTTCCCTCAGGCATTGACATTTTACTGCTAAGCCTGTGTCTGTAATCACATAACCATCTTCTTGAATGTTTTTATGCCAATTGCCTACTACAATAGATTACTTATTACCATAAGTTTCAGATACAAAACAGACACTTGGCATGAATAATAGATGTATCCAGAAACTTTTGTGAATCCGTTTTCACAAATACTTCTACAGCAACAAATTCACTCTTAAAAAAGAGTGGTAACATGTAGTTGAATATGTAAATGATCCCTTGGGGCACTCAGTGTGCATTCTCACTCATACAACAGTAAGCAGAGATAAATAGGTGTCAAGTGGTTGGCTAAGCTTACTCACCAGCTAAGCACCCTGCTCTGATCCACAGCACACAATCATATCTGTGCCTCAAGGTGTTTTACAACTACCAAAACATGACAGTTAAATCCACACGTGTCAAAGGACTATGACCGAGTAGATTTAATCCCAATGCACCAACGGCCCATTCTAGCTCAGGTTAGCCCAAAATGGTGCAGCAGTTATGAGAAGAACAAATAGCAGAGAAGAGATTAACCAAAGAACTTACACGTGTATATGCATAACCCATGGATACAGACTATAGTGTGGTGAAGGCGTGGGGTGGGGGATTGGGTGGACCAGAAGGGGTCAATGGGGGAAAAAGGAACATATGTAATACTTTCAACAACGAAGATAATTTTTTAAGTGAGGAGTCTAAAGCAAGTGCCTTACTTGATGCTCCTTGACAAGTTTATGAAGCTTACCCGTGTGGGAGGGATGTGGGTCATCAAATACTGAAATTGTCATTTCATAGGTGTGTCCAGCAGCAATCATCTCTGGGTCTTCATAATCCATTTCTTTGGCAACCTTTTGGGAAAAAAAATATTTCAGGAGAAGGGCCTGACTTTTTTAATGTACATGTTTTAAGTAATGAATCATTCTGGAAACAGTAAGGATATAGCCATTTTGGTTCAGTAAAGATGGCATCAGAATATGCTGAGACTGGTCCATGTGGCACACAAAGGAGACATCTTGGTGGGAAAAGGGGACCCCTTTGATCTCCTTCCAGAGCACCTTACTTTTGGACAAAGCATCCTGGCATAATAGAAAAAAAAATGGGTCACACCTGCCTTCAGTAAAATAATTAAAAAGAGAAAATACTTTGAAAGTACTTTGTAATTGATACAGCACTACAATAAATGTATGTTATTTCTATTATGACAAGTTATCATTTTTTAAATCCTCACCCGTGGATATGTTTTTATTTTTTAATTGATTTTAGAGGGAAGTGGGGGAAGAGAAACACCAATGTGAGAGAGAAACATTGATGCGTTGCCTCCTGTACATACCCCCAAAGGGGATCAAACCCGCAACCTAGGTATGTGTCCTGTTGGGGAATCCAACTGACAACCTTTGGATGCATGTACAATGCTCCAACCAACCTGGCCAGGGCTACTCGCCATTTTTTAAATGTTTATTAAGTACGAATAAGTTCCAGGTAGAATCAAAGGTATTAGGAATATAACAATAAACAATATGATCCCAGAGCAGAGACCTGATGATAACCCTAATATAATAATAGCATTGGCACAAAGGTCAGTTGGATTGGTCAATATAGCACCGAGTACCAGGTGTTTAGTAAAAACTACATTTTTTAAAATTTAGTATCTGAATACATTTATTCATTTATTCATTTATTTGAGGATATTGAGTACCCAGTATGCACCTAGCACTTCAGGAGGTGTTAATACACAAAAAAATGGACCACTCAGAAAATGGACCAACAATTAAATAAGCAGTTATAACAGAATCTAATAAATGTTTTTTTAAAGAATAGTTTATTGATTTTTAAAAAATATATTTTATTGATTTTTTACAGAGAGGAAGAGAGAGGGATAGAGAGTTAGAAACATCGATGAGAGAGAGACTTCGATCAGCTGCCTCTTACACACCCCCTATTGGGGATGTGCCCACAACCAAGGTACATGCCCTTGACCGGAATCGAACCCGGGATCTTTCAGTCCGCAGGCCGACGCTCTATCCACTGAGCCAAACAGGTTCCAGCAGTTTAATGATTTTTGAAGAGAGAGGGAGACATCAATGTGAGAGCACAACATCAATGAGCTGCCTCCTGCACACCCCCTTCCGGGATGGAGCCCAGAACTAGGGCATGTGCCCTTGACCAGGAAACCTCCTGGTGGGATGATGCCCAACCAACTGAACCACACAGGCCAGGCCAGAATCTAATAAGTGTTTGACAGGAGAAGAAGAAATTATTTTGGAAGCTCATATCCAGGAGAACTAAGCCAGTCATGGTAGTTAAAGAAGGTTATAGAGCCCTGGCTGGTCTGGCTCTGTGAATGAACATTAGCCTGTGAACCAAAGGGTTCCAGGTTCATTTCTGGTCAGGGGCACATACCTTAGTTACAAGCTCCTCTCTGGCCCAGGACCTGGCCGGGGCTCCTGCAGGAGGCAGCCAATCAATGTGTTTCTCTCACATTGATGTTTCCCTCTGTCTTTCCCTCTCTCTTTCATTCTCCCTGGAAATCAATGGAAAAATATCCTCAGGTGAGGATTAACAAACACACACACACACGCACACACGCATGCACACACACACACACAAAGCTTATAGAAATAAGTGGCATTTAAGACCTAATAGATAATTATGAAAATGTAGAAATTAATTAGAGGTAGGTGATAAGTGGAAGGAGTTTTTCATAAATAAAGCAGGCATTAGGTGATGCCCCAAATGTTAGTTGACATCATGCTTACAAAACTTTCATGTTTATCCCAACTCCATTTTTTTTTAATGACAGTTTGGCATTGCATTTCAAAATGAACATCGCCCCAGAAAACCCCTTGGCTCAGTGCCTACGCTTCCAAAATTCACAACATATGCAAAATTCAACTTGTATCTTAAGGTACTTGTCAAGAAAATGTTAAGGTGAGGACCAAAGCAAAAGAGAGGTGATTAGTGGCTTTCTTGGCCATATCTTCTGGCTGAAGTGAAGTGTTTGGTGATGTTGGGTGAAGGAACAAACAGGGATTGGCACAAAAGGAGCGCTGGCAGGCAGATAAGAAAGGACTTGCCCACAGGCCTTCCAGCAAGACAGCAGAGGAGGCCAGCCCCTCTGCTGTGTCAGAGTCCCTCTTGCTGACTCTGCCAGCACCCAGCCATGGCCATGCGGTGCCTCCCCCTCCTGGGGAGGACTCCTGGCAGATACAACAGCTGAGGCTCACCTGGACCCAGTTTTCAGCCATCGGCACTTGCTTGAAGAGCTGTCCAGGCCCCACTGGCCCTGAGCGTGGAACATAGTGAATCCTATCAGGAGGCTCGTCAAGGTCATGACACAAGAGCTTTGAAACTACTGTATTATTTGCAATCACCTCTTTGCCTGTGAACCTGTTCTTTCAGAAGAAAAGTCAGTTTAGATGGACAGTCTTTTAAAATGTACTAGTTTTCACATAAACATCCGGTAGTCTGATGAGCGCCTGTGTGTGATGCTCTACTTATCCCGAGTCCAGGTTTGGAGCATCATCTGGGAAGCCCTTTGCCATCTGGGCTATGCATTTGGCGAGACTTTCCTCGTTTTCTGGGAGTATTTCTTTTCCACACCCAGCCAGGGACTTGTTTAGGAGTCTATCGCAGATGTCTCGTCAATAGAGACGCTGGAGTGGGAATCAGAGCAGTGGGAATGTTCCCATCTGAGCGTCTGCACAGCAGGGTCAGAGGTGCAGTCCTCACCGCTGTGGTCACAGTGGATTACCTCCATCTCTCTGGGTCCACACACATCTTCCCTGCTACCTCTCTGCCCCAGTGCTCACGGGAAAACCTTCTAAATCTAAATTCTAACAAATCCTTCAAAGACTAGCATAGGTCTTGCTCCTTTAGGAGGCTCCCCTGGATACTCCATTTGCACGTGTTCTTCCTTTTAACAATTAAAGCACAACACACATAATTTAAAACTATCTCGTACTTTTTGCTGCTATCTTAAATGTAGTCATCTCATCACCCTGACAAGATACAACCGTCTAATAGCAAAGGAGCATAGCAAATACTTATCCTGTCACCTCCAGGGACTAGAGCCCTGGCTGCAGCAGGTGGTGAGTGTTTGGTTAATTAACTATGGTCTTCCTGGGGAAAGAAAAAGGAAAAAGAGGAGGAGATAAACAAAAAAAACAAAAAAAAAAGGTAACTTTTACTCAGTATATGCCAGCCCCTACTGAACACATTCCAAACCTTGTTGTATTTGATTTTTATAACAATGCTGTGATGTAGGTGCCACTATCATCTCCGTTTAAAGGGCAGAGTAATGGGGACCCAATTGAGACCACATGAGTGTAAGTATCAGAAGCTAGATCATCAGAGCCGGGAGCACAGAGGCAGCTGTCCTGTACAGCTGATAGCTTACGGTGGGGTGGGCTACATAGATGAGTGACAGGATGTGGGTTTAGAGATTAAGCTTCAAATAATAAAAACAGCCAGGCTGACAGGAATACAGCCCAGAATCCCTATCCAAATACCAAAATTCAAAAGCTCTGAAACTCAGGATTTTCTCATAACTTATTGGTCATCAAACATTACCTGAACTGACAGATCTTTCTTTGTCCTACTTATTGTGAGTATCCATATGTTTTACTACAGAAGTATTCATGGATTTGAATTTGGGACATTTACATAATATATGGTATATACTATATTACCCTCCTAAAATTAAAAAAAAAAAATCTTTATCCTGAAATATATCCAGTGCCAAGGGTTTCAGAAAAGGAATGATGGAACTATGATAGAGAGCATTTATGGAACTGACACACATACTCAGCACTGTGCTCAAAATGTTATGTAAATTATTCCATTTATTCTTCAAAACCAACCTATAGACCAAGTTATATTGTTATCCCATTTTATAAAGAAAGAAACTGAAGGCCGTGGGGCTTAAATAAATTACCCAAGACCACACAGCTAATAAGCGATAGAACCAGGATTTCAAGCCTGGTCTGTGACGCCAAAACATACACTTCCTTTTGTTTTGTTTTTTAATCTTTATTGTTGAAAGCATTACATATGTCCCCTTTTTCCCCTACTGTCCCCACCCCTGTATCAGGCCGTCACCACCATGTCTGTGTGCATGGGTTATGCAAATATGCATGCAAGTTCCTTGGTTGATCTCTTCCCACCCACCCCACCTTCCCTCTGAGATTCTGCAATCTGTTCTATGCTTCTATGCCTCTGGGTCTGTTTTGTTCATCAGCTTATTTTGTTCATTAGATTCCACATATGAGTGAGCTCATGTGATACTTGTCTTTCTCTGCCTGGCCTATTTTGCTTAACATAATACTCTTCCATGAAGTATGAATTACACTTTGCTCAGGTCCCTCCATGCTGTCTCAAAGGGTAAGTGATCCTTCTTTTTTACTGCTGCATAGTATTCCATAGTGTAAATGTGCCACAGCTTTTTTACCCACTCATCTACTGATGGGCACTTGGGCCAAAACATACACTTCGAACAACTGACTGTCAGATCCAGGACAGCAAGGCTGTTTAGCTTCCAGCAGCTCATTTCTGAGGACCAGAACATGAGACTGAACCGGATCAATGTGATGATTAACTGGCATTTAGTCAAGCCAGGAAGTACAGCAATACCGGTACCTCTGTTCTCCACTCACTCTGAGTTCTCAACCCAGCCTACTCCGCTCAGCTCACCTAATCAGATCCTGATCGCAGAAAGGGGGGTTGTCATTGATGCCGTGGACATAAACCGTCACTAGAATTGCCGCACACCGCTGCTCCTGGTCACAGGCCTTGATGGAGAAGGACTGAACGCGTGCAAACCCAGCCCTCTCCACATCAAGGCGTGCAGCGGTCACCATGGTCCCGTGCTCTGTAACAAAACAACACGCCGTGCTGCAAACCAGCTCCTGCTGCCGTGACTTTATCACGTAGCAATGAAAGAGATAAAGGATGAATTACACCCTGCTCAGTAGAATTAAAAAACTGATTTAAAATGTAGGCACGATGCATAATTGTTTATGTGCTGTCATTAATCATACTATGTTAGCTGGCAGCAAAAACACAATTGGGTTTCTGTTTTTGGTTGTTCTGTTTTGTGTCATTTTGTTTTACTTAGGAGACCAGGGAAGACTTTCTAGAAGAGGGGGCTTTTATTTAGGTCTTGAAGGACATGTAGGATAAGGAAATGTGGGTGAGCGGGAGGAGATCATTCCCGAAGAGGGAACATCAGAAGTGAAAAGAGCAACAAGATCATGACTCCCTTCCACCCACCCACCCACCCATTCATTCAGCAAGCATTCGCGGAATGACAGCTATGTGCCCGGAGCTGTGCTGGGCACTGAGTACACCACAATGAAGCCTGCCTTCACGGAATTTACAACCTAGCCTGGGAGACAAGCCACTAAGCAAGTGTAAAACAATTCACTAGACATGCTACCAAGGAACTAAAAACTATAATGTGATATATTTAATGTCTAATGATCAGATTCTGGAAGATGCAAGGACCAAGGCGGCCTTGTGCTTTGGCTGCAGTGTAACGGACAACAGGGAAACAAGAAACACAAAGACATTGCAGAGAGAGACAAGAGACATGGATTAGGGGACAAAGTGAGAAGTCTGAATTCCATTCCAAGTGCAAAGGAAAATAAGAGGAGGGTTTGACTTTAAGAGGAGGCGTATAATCCAATTTGACCTTTTCCCTTACAGTCATCCCAGGTGATCTGCTGAGACGAATGAAAGAGTGTGAAAGCAGAAGCCCAGCTAAGAGATTTGTGCAGTGATTCAGTTAAGAGCGGATGGGATGTTAGTGGACTGGGGCTTCCCTAGAGGCAGGATGGGAGAGGAGGATTTGAAGGCAATGGTTTATTTGGGGGGTGATCCAGAGCAACATGGTATGGGTGTGGTGAGGCAGAGAGGGCAAGGCTGCCAATAAAAAATATATTATCAAGCAAGTTACCACTGTGGACAGTTAGAGCTTAATATCACCGGGGAACTCTGAGAGCCATTGCAAAGTACACACTCAAAATTGTCCCAGATCAGGGACAAGGAGCAGGAGCATTTATGTACCAATTCTCTTCAGTATTTGACTAGGAGCTAATGGAGTGGGTAGTATTTTTCCAACACTTTGAATCTGCTATTTGCGAGGGAATGGGGCAGATGTCAGTCCCCAAATAATCCCTCAAGCAAAGAAATGCAGCTATTGGCAGTGAGAAGTCAGGAAACTGAAATGCTAAGGCCTGAGGGTGAGAACTGAGAGCATCCCCTGCCCTCTCAGTACCATGCTCAACCCTGCACATGTGCTAAAGATGACCAGCTCCTCTCTTCTCAGATATGCCACAGCTTCTGACAGCCACCCAGCCTCAGCCACAGCTGATTGGCTGAGAAGTGAATGACTGACTCTAGAAAGTCCAATCAGATTCTCTCTCACAAAAATTTGGACCTGAAGCAAAACAGAAATTTAGATCTGAGAAGATGCGCTGGAGGGTCCTGTGGAGTGCAGAGCTGAAGTGGTCGTCAGCAGCAGCTGTGGAGAGCCACGTGTTGGGTCATCTGTGGACAAAGAACTGGGCTTGCAGAGAGTTATTCAACAGAAGTTTATCAAGCACCTACTATGTGCTTCTTCCAGGGATTCTGCAAATGAAGACAATCTGATACCCACCCTCCTGAAACTCATTCTTAGAGGGGAGACATAAACACATGATAACAACAGCACATAAGTGAGATGATTTGCTGAAAATAATTCCCAACCTACCTTTGTCAATTGCAAAGTAAACATTCCACGGATCTAGTCCAAAGGTTAACTCTCCCAAATCATCCTCATCGGTGGCCTGACACAGGCCAATCGTTTTCCCAATTGGGATTTCTTCATCCAATGTGATGTTGACTTTATCGTGCTGAGTCGACTTTATAGAAGTAACGCTCAAGACATCATTTTCAATATTGAATAACCTTGTTGGAAAAGAAAAGGCTGTTAGAGTGGTGCTTGCTTGGCGTGTATTCTTTTCTACCCCTTATGGAGGTGGAGGGGTAAGGGGCTGGAGGTAGTCATGGTGACAGTGGCAACTGACAATGTTAATAGCTAACCCATTTATTTAGCACTTGCCCATTGTTTAGAACAATGCTGAGTACTGTTTCCATTGTTTCCATTTATTTCTCAGTCCCAGAAAGTAGATACCTCCCCACACACACACACTTTACAGATGTGGAAACTAAGCTTTTAAGAAAGTAAGTAACTCAGAAGTAAATGTCAAAGTGGCTGAGGTAGGATTTGACCCCAAGCCTGTCCTACTCTAAGAGAATCTATTCATGCTTAACCACTGAGCTCTTAGCCCCCTATAGTAAGAACCAATGTCTTAAAATCGCTGACCCCAATGTGTTTTTATAAAACCCTGGTGGTCATTTCAACCAGAATTTCCTTGAAGGTTGTGAGAAGTAATCCAGCCTATTAGACATTAAGAACACTAACAATACCTTATTCTGTTTCAATTTCAACACATTTTATACTTTAAAACTATTTTATTTGCCCCAGCCAGGTGGTTCAAGGGGTAGGAGCATTGTTCTGTATACCAAAAGGGTGCAGGTTCAATTCCAGGTCAGGGCACACAGCTAGATTCCTGGGTTGTGGGTTTCATCCTTGGTCAGGGAGGTTTCAGGAGGCAAACAATCGATGTATCTCCTCTCTCTCTCTCTCTCTCTCTCTCTCTCTCTCTCTCTCTCTCCCTTTCTCTCTCTCTCTCTTCCACCCTCCCTCCCTCTCTCCCTCCCCTTTCTTTCTCTCTCCCTCTTTTCCTCTCTTCTCTTTCTCTAAAATCAATAAAAACACCCTACAGTGATGATTTTTACAAAACTATTCTCAAATTTCTGTTTTTAAGAAAGCCTTTTCATTAGAATCTTAAGTGATTGTTTACATTTTACTTGTTTATTTTCCTTTTCAGGGAAAAGAAAAACATTGCATACTAATGGAAATTTCATTAATGAATTTCAGAGACTACATTTTCCTATCCCATTTTCAAGGTCAGTTAAAGAGTTCTATTTTCTTACCTGCAGGTGAGAACTGGGTCTTTGTTGTTGACATTGATGAGGAAAATCTTTAGATTCCCGGCAGTGAACAGTCCTCCGGGATCAACCACTGTAATAGCTAGAGTGAAACTGAAAGTGTAGCCACAGGAAAGACAGTTAAGATTTTACAGTAACTAACAGGCTTTCACAGAAACAGAATCTCTGGGGCTTAACTGACCCGTTAACACAATTGACTCATTTAGTTAAATTGTCCGTCAAACCAGCTACTATTTTAACAGTTGGAAATGACTGACACTTGGTTAGAATCCAAGTTAACTAATCTGTTGGAAGAACAGGCAGGAACTTGGAAAGGTCTGCTAATCCCCATCAATAATAAAAAGCACAGCGGCTTGCTCAGCCTGGTAGAGATGTTTAAGAGCTCTCACCCTTAAACACCGACCTCTCAACACTGAAAACTGATGACAACTGCAAAGGAGAAGGTGGTAAGAGCACTTCAAGACAATGTAGTGACCAGGGGGGCATGTTAGGAGGGGTGGGTGACAAAGAGGTTTTATTCCAGCAATATGTGTATGGGTTTGAGGCATGAAAGTGCTTGAAATGGGGGGGGGGGGGGGGGGGGGAACAGGGGAGAGGGAGGAGAGGATGTCCTAATGGACAGATGACTGTCCATAACTGTGATCCAGACAGCAGTCCGAGCTGGCGGGGCCTGTCTTATAGCACTGACAGCCCCTTCACATCCTGGAATCTGTTCAGCCCCAGGCAAACCCGGACTGTCGCTCACACTTTTTCAGAAAAAAAAAAAAAATCTGTTCTACCTTGAAATGTACTGATAATTGAGGCCAAAATTACTCTTTTCCTTCTTTTAGACTAAAAATTGAACAAGTTCTCAATTTTCCTCCTGTTTTATAATTTTTTCCACCAGAAGATTATCCTTTTTGAGATAGCGTTATAGAAATTACAAAGCCAATTCACTTTTTAGAAAAAAGACGTTGTCCTGGCCAGGCAGCTCACTTGGTTAGTTTTGTCCTGAAATGCCAAGGCTGTGGGTTTGATTCCCGGTCAGGCACATATAAGAATCAACCAATGAATGCATAAATAAGTGGAACAACAAATCTATGCTTCTCTCTCAATAAATAAATAAATTTTAAAATAATCCTGGGACGTCTCCCATATAAGAATGGAAGGAATGCTGAAGGAGGTACAGACAGGATGCCACAAGCCCCAAAGACCTCACATTACATTTGGTCTAGCTGAGTGCTGGAGGGGAGACTGCAAGGGAATGAGGAAGGACTGAGCCCTTCTACCGTGTTTCCCCGAAAACAAGACATCCTCCGAAAATAAGACCTACTTACAGGTTTCCTTCTGAGTGAAATATAGGGCATCCCCCGAAAATAAGGCCCCCCTAGGCTAAACATGAGAGATTTGGTCCACTGATTCTGAAAGAAATAGAGTCACAAGAAATTCACCAGGAAATTCAGGAAATGGATTGTTATGATGATGTTCCAGAAGAGGATGATGTGATTGTCATTGAATAAATGAGTAAATTCTTGATACTGTAGGATTCACAGTTTGTCTGGTTTGTGTTGACAACTACCATACTACCGTACCGTATACAAGTAATACATTTCCTTTATTTTCATTTAACAATAAATGTGTACTGTATTCTTCTTCATGGAAAATTAAGACATCCCCTGAAAATAAGACCTAGCGCATCTTTGGGAGCAAAAATTAATAGAAGACACTGTCTTATTTTTGGGGAAACAGTGTAACTCTGCATCAGCACTTGAACAACCAATTTCACAGCTCTTAGGACTCCTTTGAAAGGAGGGAGTGGATAAGAGTCAAAGGGTGATTTTAAAAATGACCTTTGTTTCCACTCCAAGGTCAGCTCAGAGACTGAGAAACTCTGGAGAAAATGAAGGAATGGGGTTCTCCATGGAGAACTTTAGTGAGAATCCATTGCAAACCTTTAGCCAAATAATCATTTTTTAAGGTTCTACAAACAGAGCTTCAATTTTTGTATCAGCTCCTCTGATTTTAAAGATATAAAAAAAGAGAAAGTTTGGCTTTTACTTATCAAGAAAACAATTAATTTTTAAAACACTCATTATTGACTTTTACTCCCATTTGTTAAAAAAAAAAAAAAAAAAAAAAAAAGCTTAAGATTAGGAATAACCTGGAATATGCACAAACATTTTTTCATGAGGTATACCAGGCCAAAATAGAAGGAATCTGTGATGGACATTATCCATTATTCCCAGAACTACGCAGACCAAATAAACAGAGGAATTTTGGGGGTAAAATGGATCCAGATTTTGACAAATTTTCTGCCCTCAAAATATATAAAGATAACACATATTTAAGAGAACTCTCTTCCAACAGACTTTAGGTAGTCAGCAGGAGAAAACACATCCCATTTTTTGAACTCTCAACCTGTTTTATTCGATACTAAAAATGCTGACTCCGCATATATGCCATCCTCAGCTTTCATAATCGGGAGACTCTCCTTAGGAGATTCGGGAGCAAGTGTATTGTAAGGGCTTCCTGGTTCGCTTGCTTTTCCTGTAAAGCACTTTGATGCAGAACATATGGCTGAAAAGGGTGGTAATAAAAACCATTGTAAAAATAGTCATAATAACTGCACACCAATGGCTATCCATTTAACAGATGGAGAGGGAAAAGGAGGAATTGTCAGGCAATTAACTTTTCAAGGTTGCTGGATTAAACTGTGAATGAATTGTTGCCCCAGCTGTCCAGAGAGAACCCCCGACTTCCACCTCAGGTCGCAAACACGTCACTGAAATCACCCCAGGCTTGGCTCTGGATGAGCAGGTAGGTGCCAAAATAGCCACATCCGGTACCTACAGCAGCACTTGTGCAGTCAGAGTTTGGGTGATGATTTCCCAGTTAGGGCAATGCTAACAGCACCTTCACTTGGGAGCCTGTGAAGGCCAGATGGGGGAAGCGTCCTCACTGACAGAAGTATGAACCAGAGGGCAGGTGTTCTGAGTGAACGAAAAGCCAGGAGCAGCATTTACCTTCTATTTCCCTTCTCAAAATCAAAACCTGCTGCTGTAGAAATTGTTCCGATGCTGTCGATTGTGAAGCCAGAGCCCTCCGGGAAAAGGGAGTACTGTTTGTTGGAGAGAGGAAAGAAGGCAAGACGTTACAGAGACACCGGCCACTCCCCCGGCTGGGACCAGGCCTTACCTGCCCGGGGGCTCTGGGCCCACCCGCCCGCCCCATGTACAATAGCTGCTCATTGCACATTTGCCAGTAATGATGATGAAATTATACTCCATTCGACTGGCTGCAAGCCAGACAACCTGTCCTTAAATATTTCAAGTAAATTTCTCTAGTCTCCTACATTCAGGATGTCACCTGAACATTTCTCACATATAACACTCCACTCGAAACTAAAATTAAGTTAAAAGGAGTTACTTTTTAAAGAAATGAGCCGGCTGTGTAATGAGAACTCAGAGATTATTTTTTGTTTGGTGCTTACGAAGATAAGCCCCTGCTTTTGGAGGGGGTGTTGAGGGACAGGGAGCCAGAAAGGGGAAAATTAAAATCCTAAGCATCTGTTGACCTCGTTTTCTGAGGGATAGGTACTGGCAACACTTCCTGAAGTCGTTTTTCTTAGCATACCACTGACCTCTATTTATACTACCCTGTTTCCCCGAAAATAAGACAGTGTCTTCTATTAATTTTTGCTCCCAAAGATGCTCTAGGTCTTATTTTCAGGGGATGTCTTATTTTTCCATGAAGAATACAGTACACATTTATTGTTAAATGAAAATAAAGGAAATGTATTACCTGTATACGGTACGGTAGTACGATAGTTGTCAACACAAACCAGACAAACTGTGAATCCTACAGTATCAAGAATTTACTCATTTGAATAATGACAATCATGTCACCATCTTCTGGAACATCATCATAACAATCCAATTCCTGAATTTCCTGGTGAATTTCTTGTGACTCCATTTCTTTCAGAATCAGTAGACCAAATCTCTCATGTTTAGCCGGGGGGGGGGGGGCGCTTTTTTGGGGGGGATGCCTTATATTTCATGCAGAAGGAAACCTCTAAGTAGGTCTTATTTTCGGAGGATGTCTTATTTTCGGTTAGTCTTATTTCCCAGTTAGTCCGCTAAATGCTTCAAATGCATTGTCTCTTCATTGTCACAGGTACTGATGCTATCCCTGTTTCACAGGCAGGAGCACTGAGGCTTAGAAAATGCAGGTGGCTTGCCCCAGTCTGAGAGCCGAGCTTTTAGTCACTTTACAATGCCTCTCCGCTCACCACACTGCATCCCTAAGACCAACTTTTGCCAAAGGGGGAAGGTGAGGTCAAGGTTTTTAGATTAGGTGAGAGTCAAGTGATTAGAAAAGAACTGGCAAAAATCCACGAGAGGATTAATATCAGGAGTTAATTATACTGAGTGCTACTGACTTAATAATTGTGTACACCCAGAGATAATTTAATAAAGAAGATTAAACACAGAAGGTTTGCAAAGCAACCTAAAAATTGTTTAGAGAAATTTGTGACCTTTTAATTTATCGATTTTCTGATGAATCATCATGCCCTGATTAATTTAAATTCGTACCATCATTTCTACACATATAAATAAGGTGGAATTGATTTTTTTTTTCTTCTTTAATTTTTTTAAATTGATTTCAGAAAGTGAGGAAGGGAGAGATAGAGAAACTGATGGGTTGCCTCTGCTATGCATCCCAACCAGGTATCAAACCATAACCTAGGGCCTGGCCAGTGTGGTCCTATGGTTGAGCATTGATCCATGAACCAAGAGGTCGCTGGTTTGATTCCCTATCAGGGCACATGGATGGGTCTCGGGCTCACTCCCAGGTGGGAGGCTGCAGGAGGCAGCTGATCCATGATATTTTTGTCTCTCCCTCTCCCTTCCTCTCTGAAATCAATAGAAATATATATTAAAAAAAAAAAAAAAAAAAAAAAAAAAAAAAGCCGAAACCGGTTTGGCTCAATGGATAGAGCGTTGGCTTGGGGACTGAAGAGTCCTGGGTTCGATTCTGGTCAAGGGCATGTATCTTGGTTGTGGGCATATCCCCAGTAGGGGGTGTGCAAAAGGCAGCTGATTGATGACTCTCTCATCGATGTTTCTAACTCTCTATCTCTCTTCCGTCCTCTCTGTACAAAATCAATAAAAATATATTTAAAAAAAAAAAAAAAAAAAAACACCATGACCTTGGTATGTGCCCTTTTTGGGAATTGAACCCATGACCCTTCAATGTACAGGACAATGCTCCAACCAACTGAGCCACACCAGCCAGGGCCACTTCTGCTTTT